AGTGGAAAGAACTTGCCGACGGGACCTTCGGGAGGTATGGCTATGGCGGAGGGACTGCCAGAGCCTCCGCCGCCTCCCGCGACGAGAGAGGAGAATCGGCGGAGACTGCGCTTTCTCGGCCAAGCGGAAGGGAAGCCCCCCCCGCTCCCCCCGGCTCCCCCGCCACCCCCGCCCGCCGCCCCTGCTTGTTGCTTCAGAACCGCCGCAGCCATGTTGAAGATGCACCAATCGCTTCCGAATGCCCACCGTCAATGCAAGAAGTCAAAGTCCAAAGCAAATGGCCTGAGAGGGGGCCACTCCTCCTCCCCCTCCTCCCCCTCCTCCTCTTCTTGCCCAACCTCTCAGTCAATGCAAGAAGTCAAAGTCCTAAGTCAATGGGCTGAGAAGGGCGGCAAGCACCACGACCCATCGCATAGCAGAGTTGAGGACTCTCCCTGTGTTTCCCCGCCTGTTCCTCCTCCCCTTTTCCTCCCCTCCTTCTCCACCTCCACCCCCTCCTCCTCCTCCTCCTCCGCCTGCTGCACCTCGTGTAACCCTCGTCTCCTTTTCCTCCTTGGAACGTATCGACGCAGATGTGATCCCAGTACGACGGTGCGGCGGCTAAGTTGCGGAACCCCGCCGTTGCGAGATATGGGAGAACGAGACGAAACCTTCGGAGGGGCTAGACACGCCAAACAGAACTGCCCCGTATGGTCTAATAGACTAATATATAGATAGAGATGCTAGATCTATATTAATTAATATATAGACTAACTAGATTTTTATGTTAATATCTATTTTTTATATATGTAGACGTACTCAGAAAACGGAAAAAAAAAAAGAACAAAAATGAATCCAGTAGCTGATGACTATATCTTCTTGGATGCTTTGACTTGCTTTCAACGGCAAATTGCACACCACCCATCCATCCATGCACCCATGCATGCATGCATGCATGCATGCATGCATGCTAACACGAGGACATTTCTATTATTCTATGGACGTAATTACGTTCAGATGCATGCGGGAGAAGCCGCAGTTTCGGTTAGATACACGCAGGGACGTCCCAATGACAGCATGCATGTGCATGCATGCACTAACATGGACGAAGCCATAGCCTCAAGGCTCGTCAAAGAAGAGAACAAAGACTGTCGTCAATCAATTATCAATCCATGCATGAGCACTCCGCATGGCCCTTATGAGCTGGGCTAACCAGATCACACATCAAGCAATCAGGATTTTTTTTTATTTTTTTTTTTTTTCTAATGGTCCGATGAGCCGGATTCGAACCAGCGATCAAATATTATATCAGTGATTGAGACGGATCGATTGGGTGGGGCAATGAAAACGACAAATCCAAAAAAAAAAAAGAAAAAAAAAAAAAAGAGGATGTTTTCTAGCACTGGAAACGATCAATCAATCAAGCATATCGATTCCATCGACGCGCATTTTTTTTAATTTATTTTTTTGTAAGGCTAGGATTCTTTTTTTTTTTTGTAAGCTAAGCTATATTCTTCTCGCAATTTCACCTCCCACTACCTACCTACCACTACTCCTAAGCCTATAAGGTGACCCCTGCAAGCATAACAACCTCTCACAATCAGGGGGGGTTATTCGAGCAGCGCCATAACCCCGCAAGCGAATAAAAGAATGGAGGAGCAAATAAGACAAGAACGGCGCCGCATTTTCTTAAATTTCTTTTCGTTGGGAAAGAAATCGAATGCCGCTCAAAAAAAAGAACCTGGCTTCATGGCGCTCACTATCTGCACAGCGACGCTGCATGCGTCCAGGTTCATTTGGATGGAGACGTCCCAGGACGTTATTTCAAAACTTGCTAGGAGGCATTGCAAAACTATTTCAGCAAAAAACGCGGGGACATCCTAATAATAATAATATAATAAATAACAATAATAATAAATAAATAATTTGGCAGCGGGATTTTCGAGCGTCATCTATGATCAAACAAAAATGATAAATCTGAAACTCCAAAACAAATGGACCAATTTCTGGAGCAAGCTCGTCAGACGACGTCAGTTGCCGATCACAGCGACAGATGCTCGAACCCAGTTTTTTTACCAAGCCAACAACCCACAGGTTAACAATTCAACAAACACAGAGTTTAACAAGCCAACCCAGGGTTTAAGCAGCCAACAACGCAGGGTTTAAACCCGTCAGTGAAACAATTAACGAAGCGAACAAAGAGCGAGAAGCCATCGTAACAGCAGGTAAGATTTAACCAGCCGGTGTTGTTAACCCCTGGGTTGGCAGGTTTAACGAGCTGATATCCATTGCTTCGCTCGGTCAAGTAGATAAAACAGAGGAAGAAGATGCCGCGTAGAGAGTCCTGGACTCCTGGGTAAGATAAACGGAAAGATAAAAACGGGAGGGGGAGGTATAACGGTCGCTAGCGGCGACAAGAAGACGATCACCAGGCTTCGGCTCGCGTTACTCTCGTCATCGCAGAGGGACGACAAACGAGCTGCAGGCGTTGATTGGGGCTGAGCTTGCGGTGTTCTTTTCTCTGCTCGCGCGCTGCTAACCTGTGCCATGCTATGCTATGGGCCTATGACAGCGGCTGATAGCCTGCGTTATGCTATGGCGGGCGGTGCCGTACCATGGTCCCAACTTCTGCCCGCGCTTCGAACCTGTGGTCCGCTATGCGATGGCATCGGCCGCTAACCTTTGCCATAGGCTATGGCGGGCAGTGCCATGGCAATGGCATGCGATGGTCCCAGCGCTGGACGTTGCTGGCATTTCACCAGTGCGGCGTAGTCTCTTTCACAGACCACCGCTGGACCGCTGGGTGTAGGGCTGGTTTCCTTGTGACAATTCCATCTTCCGGTAGACAGGTGACAGAAGCCTCTGCAGACCCAAAAAAAAGAAAGAAGAAGGTCATCCATAGCATGAGGGCCTGGGGAGCCGGCCAGCTACGTCAAATTGTCTAAGCAGCCCTAAGGCCCTCTGCAGAGAGAAATTGGGCGAAATTGATTGACTTACCGTGAGGGCACGGGTGCGCAGCCCGTAGTTCATTTGTTTATGTGGTTCGGGAAGGGTAAGGTAGTGATTATGCTGTATGTATGTTTTGTCATGTTCGCTATCTATAACTCGAAGAGAGTGCGTGTGCGGTCCCGGTTGGTGCTTCATTGACGATGTTCATGGGACGCTGGACCCAGTTTCCAATAGGTGGCGCTCCCCATCAATAGACAGGAGAATGTATGTG